TATAGGAAGTCACTAGCCCAAGACCACCATCTGACTTATGATATTCCCATGATATCCTGCCTCCCCACCGCTTCCATACCTCCTAGCTGTGGTTAGCTTCCCTGAAACTTCAAGACCCTGGTCTCCATTCTGCCCTCCAGAGGAAAGGAGGAACCAGAGTCTGCCGAACACCTACTGAAGTGTCAGGTCCCTGCCAGGCCTTCCCAAACACCATGTCACATGACTTCTGGATTCTTGGAATCTGGGGAATGGGGGTGACAGTGCCCACTTTTCAGACAAGAAAACCTAGCCTCATGTAACAAATGTTCCTTACTGGAAGGGTGCAGGGCTGGGTTTGATCCCTGCTCTTTTTGACTTGCTGGCCACAGGATCTTCAGCAAGTGACTCAAACTCCCTGCCTCAGTTTCTCCAACTACCTCCCAGGGTTGATGGCAGCATTAATGAATTGAATGGAAGTAAAACTCACAAATGTATTGGTCTGCAGTGAGAACTCACTGAGCATCTGTGATGGACAAGTTGTTCTCAGGGACTCTGTTTCCTTTTTTATAAATAGCACTTTATGGAATGTGGATATAGACCAACTATGAGTGTAGTCTGCCACCTGAAGAGGGAGATATTAATGCTGAAGGAGTCCTCACTCACAGTACCCATCTGCCAAGCTCTGTGAGGGAAGCAGCAAGCTCCTGGAAAATCCCATGGTGCCCCCAGGGACAGTGCCAACTGAGGCAAGGGTCAGGCAGCATCCTAGCACCCAGCTGCTCCTTCTAGTGCCAGAAACACTGGCTGCGCTCTGGCTTCTGTTTGCTTGTCAGCAAGCTGGCACCAGCCAACCTTCCTCTACCCTTCCAACAATGTCAGGCAAAGCCCCTTGGCATCAGCAACTGATAGATACCCCACCATGGGCACCTTGGTTGTGCCTGGCCAGTGTGCTCAGGATCCTAGCTCTTCTGAGCTGGCCTGGCTGGCCCTGGGCAGGCCACTGCCTCTTTGTCCCCTACTTCCCTCTACTTCTCTGGGATCCTGGGAATCATCTCACACACCAGCAATGAACTAGGCTTAGGCACAAGGCTTAATCAACCGAGACCAGAGAGCCATTTGCCCAAGGTCAGGTTGGCAACAGAGGAGTGGCAGAGGCAGGCCAAGCTGGGTTCTCATCCTGCTTCAGCCCCCCAAATGCCAGTGAGTCTATTTCACATCTGGAAAAATGGGGTTCACAGGCTATGCCTCTCAGAGATGTTTGCAACCAAGGATCCTAGGCCAGTGGTCGGCAAACTCATTAGTCAACAGAGCCAAATATCAACAGTACAACGATTGAAATTTCTTTTGAGAGCCAAATTTTTTAAACTTAAACTATATAGGTAGGTACATTGTTATTAACTTAATTAGGGTTCTCCTAAGGCTTAGGAAGAGCCACACTCAAGGGGCCAAAGAGCCGCATGTGGCTCGTGAGCCGCAGTCTGTCGACCACGGCCCTAGGCCCTTCCCTGGCTGGAGGGACACAACAGTGACTACAGCCATGCCTAACTGGTTTCAAGGCAATCTCAGTCTCCAGAGGCTCTGAGAGTCCTGGCCACTCATCCAAGAGCACCAGCAACAGAGGCACAGCCCAAACATGCTGGCACCTCCCTTGCAGTCATGTTCCCCTCAGCCCACGTTTTTATGTCATCAACAAGGTCAGGGAGTACTCCTTGATTGGGGGGGAGGGGTACTGTACTGGGCACACCCCCAACCAGGCCTTGCAGGGAACTATGGCCCAGTGCAGTGACAAACAGTCCATTTTCAGTTGAGTCGGCCAAGGTCAACCTGAGGTGGCAGTGCAGGGACTAGAACAGCCGTGGGCAAACTACGGCCCGCGGGCCGGATCCGGCCTGTTTGAAATGAATAAAACTAAAAAAAAAAAAGACCGTACCCTTTTATGTAATGATGTTTACTTTGAATTTATATTAGTTCAGACAAACACTCCATCCATGCTTTTGTTCCGGCCCTCCAGTCCAGTTTAAGAACCCATTGTGGCCCTCGAGTCAAAAAGTTTGCCCACCCCTGGACTAGAACCTAGGCATGGCCAACGTCTGGGAAATGTGGGGTCTTCAGCTGGACATGGGATAACCAGGCTGAGGACATCTAAACAGTCCCTAAGTGCACCCCCTGAAGACACCCATTTCCTCTGGCTAAGGTGGGAAGAACTGATAAACGGGAGCCACCCATCCCCAAAGAGGCCTGCAGCTATAGAAAAGCTGGCAAAGAGCCCAGGAGTGGGCCCTGGGCTGTGCGGGAGGCCTTCTCTCCAACCACCCTGTGTACTTATTAATTTACTCAGGTAAATGTTCAGAAATGTTTACAGGAAGCTGGAGCAGAGTGGGGAAGACAGGAGCCTACCCACACAGAGTGGGGGGCAGACACACAGGAAAACATACAGATGGCATCAGAGGTCAGTGGCATAGCACAAGGGGTGATGGGACTGGGAAAGGGAGAGGACAGAGGGAAGGGTACTCCAAAAGGAGGGCAAAGGCCCTGAGGTGAGGAGGCTGGTGTGGCTGGAATCACGATTAAAGGAGAGCATGAGGAAGATGAGGGTGGGGGTGGGCAGGGCCTGGAGTACAGTTTGGTTTTATGGGGAGGTTGATGGGGAGCCATGGGCAGAGTGAGAGCTGATCTGGGGCAGGAATCACAGGGCAGCACTCAGGCTTCCTCAGAAACTGGCTGGCAGCATCCACCCTCCCCACTCACCCCTACCCCACTCCTGCCCATGTGACAGATGAAGTAACATAAGGCTTACAGGGCCTGAGGACTCCCCAAGGTCACAGTGTTATAGGCATTAAGACAGGCATGAGCAGAGCAAGGACAATGGACCAGGTATAGAACGTCACCCAGACCAAAAGCCCTGGGTGCCTAGCAAGGGGCAAAACTGGGAAAATGATAACCTCACCCCCACAGTAACCTTTCCTTCCCTAGCATATTGCTGGTCATGCAGTTTAGACCCCCTGACCTTTTCCTCCCTAACGATAACAGCTAGGCCTCAGCTGTATTTCAGCTCCCGGCCCACAATGGCAGCAAAATCAGACAAGTGACACCATGGCTGCCTCAGGACCAGCTGCACTGATTACTGATGCCCTGCCCAGGCGCCAACCAATCAGTGGTGACCAAGACCCTGAAAGAGCACACCTGGAAAGCTGGTGAATGCCTCCCCTGAGACCTCCCCTAAGATTCCCACCTGCAAGAAATAAATACCATCAATGCAAAGGACCCAACTCATGCTCTCCCCAAGGGGAGCGTGCCTGTGCCATTCCCTTCCCCCTCCTTCCTCCACAGGCACGTATCCCCTAAACTCTAAGGGATCCCACAAGACTTGCAACCAGGGTAGCAGGGGGCAGCAGCAGCTCATCCTGGGCAAACTCCCTGAACTTGTCTCCAAGGCCCCTTTCCTCTGACTTCCCAGTGAGCCACAGCAGCCCAGCCTAGGCTCTCCTGTTGCTTCCACTATGTCCTTCCTTGTTTCACTGTCCTGAGTGTGTTTTTGCTACAGCCAACAAATTCTTGCTTGCTTTGCTGCACTGTGTCTCTTGCTTGAAATCTTTCCTTCAAGTAGATAAGAATTGAAGTCTTGTCTTGCTGGTAACAGAAGGACTGTCCCAAGGTCACACATTTGGCTGACCCAGAAATCAAAGTCAGGGCAACCTAGAACAGGCAGGGATCCTTCTCCTACACCCTTGCCAAGTCCCTGGTGAGAGGAGGTCAGGGCAGGGTCACTGGGGTAGAGGGTCATGTCAGCCCAATTGAGCAGGCAGGGCCCGCCCAGCTGGGGGCGGGGGAGACTTGGACACCACAGGGAGGTGGGGCCAGGGTGCTGATCTCACAGCTATTTGTATTAGCCAATTTCCATGGAAACCAGGAGCCTTCTGGGAAAAGGGCTTGAACTGATGTCAAGAGTGAAAATGAGTCCCTCCTCAGGCTAGGGGAAGTGAATGACCAGTAGAGGAGTGTACTCCGAGAGGAGAGGGGCTCTAAGGTGCAGGCTGGAGGGGCCAGGCACGTGTCTGGAGCCCACCAGGGGTCTTGAGGCTACTCTGACCCTGACCAGGCCATTTGGAATGCATGAGCTGCCAGATGACCACAAGATGCCCCCTGAGAGTGTCTATAGAGAAAGCTGGGGTCTGCCAGGCACTGGAGACACAAGAACACTTGGAAGATGTAGTGGGCATTGGGGTACCAACAGTGATGTCCATCCTACAGATGGGGAAACTGAGATTCAGAGAGAGAAGGCAGGCTGCCCAAGCCACCTAGCAAGCAAGGACCTCAATGTGGTCAGGAAGGGCAGTGCAAGAGTGTCCTCCTGGGTGACCAAGGTGAAGCTAAGACAATCAGGCACCTCCCATGTCTCAGCTCTGCTCCAACATTGAGGGTGAGCTATCACCCGCCACCCCCGCCCCCCCCCCACACACACACACCTCCCTGTTTTATGGAGGATCAAATCAAAGCTCAGAGAGGTTATGTCACTTACTGCAGGCCACATAGTTGAGTGGGGGTTGGATGCTAAGCAACTCAGCTCCCCAGGGAGATGCACACTCAGAAGCAGCAACCTCGGTGCCTGCAAACCCCAGGCTCATGCCAACTGTGGCCCCAGCAATCTGCCTGTCTAAAAGCAACATCAGATCCTATATCCCAAGCTGTTCTCAAAACCTCTTCACTTTCCTCAGCAACCCCATGGCCTGCCCAAATGTCCACTCCTCCCAGTATCTGAGACCACTGGCTGCAAAGCCCCCTACCCCTGCATAAGGACCTTGGAAGAGAGTCCTCCATTTGTCAACCAATGGTCTCTTTTTTAAATATATATATATATAGTTACTATTATTATTATTGATTTGAGAGAGGATAGGGAGAGTGAAACATTACCAATGAAAGACACATCAATTGGCTGCCTATTACACACCCCTACTGGGCAGGAAATTGAACCAGCAACCTTTTGATGTATGGGACAACACTCATCCAACTGAGCCACACAGTCCAGGGCAAACAAGGTCTTTTTATTACCACACAGAAATGGCTGGCCTGGGGCCCCAGAGATGGACCAGCCTCAGTCCCTGCCCTCTGGCCAGGAAAGGCAAGGTATCTTCGACCCATTTACAGGTGAGAAAAACAGGAGCAAAGCAAGAATGGACTTGAAGAGGCAGAAGCGAGATCCCTGCCCCACTCTGAGACTGGCCAGTGTGTCTGCCAAATTTCAGATAGCCCTTCACCCCAAGCAATGCTGAGAAGGTCCTTCTGGTAGAAAGGGCTTGGGGGAGGGGCCAAGATGGGTAATACTAAAACTGCTGGCTGGTGATGGGAGCACAAGACCCAGTGTAGATGCCTTACCAGTGCTCCCTTTCTACCCCCAAGCTTGTACCTGGTACCCATCAGAAAACAGGTCTCACTGAGTTGGGGGAGGAATCTGGGAGGCAGAGAGGCTGGACATGGATCTCCCCATTTCCTGAGTCACACGACTCACCCAGAGTCGCAATCTAGGAGGCTGGGTCAAGGTGCCAGGTTGCCCTTCTGGCCGGTCCACAGCTCTCGGAGCTCTACATGGCACCCCAGGTCCCGCAGGGCTGCCTTGGCCACGTCCTCGCAATCTTGGTGAGCAACGCGGGCCTGCACAATGAGTGCTTCGGCCCCCAGGTCCAGGATGAGCTGTGAGAAGGCCTGGCTGCGCGCCACTAGGTTTCGGATCAGCATGCAGGCCTGTTTCTAGAAGGGAGAGAAGATGAAGGCTGTAGGCTGGTGCTTAAAGTCCCAAGGTAGGATCCACTCTGATCTTGGGGTTATCGTCATAACACAATGATGACCACAGCCATTATTCGATGGGTGCTATGCTATGGCTCATCAGGCCAGATGCATCCCTTCACTTCATCTTCTCCACAGCCCAAGGCATAGCTAATCCATTTCCCAGGATGCCCAAAGGTTCAGCAGGTGGGGCTGATCGCTCAGATATGGTCCTTTAGTCTCACAGAGAGTCTGGCAGGGGCCCCAGAGGAAGAGGGCAGCAAGACAGAGGAAAGAGGGGGTGTGCACAGAGCCCATCTGTCAATTACATTGGTACTCCTTCAGTATACCCTGCATATCTGCCATGTGTGGGTACCTAGAAGCACCCCAACAAGGCTTCCACCACCAGTGGATGAGGAGGTGAAGTGTGGGGACTTCTGGCCAGCCAAGGGCATGATGTCCTGGAAGGGGCAGGAGAGCAAGGCCCTATAGGAACCACAGCCTGGGGTATCTAAGGATCATGAGGCCCCAGTGCTGGGGTGCATGTGAGAGGTGGGAGAACCAGGACTGCAAGAAGCAGTGTGGGTTTCAGGCCACAGTGTACGCATGGCTCCGTGTATAGTTCAGCCCTGAAGACTCCCCAGTGAGGTGGGCAGAACCATCCCAAATCCAAGCAGAGCCCCACTGCTCTCTCCCATTCCCTCCTCCTCCCAGATTCCTACAAAGAGCCTAAAAGAAAATATCAAACACAGAATAAAGGAGCAGGGACAGTATACTCTGGAGGATGGCATGTAGCTGCAGAACTCTAGGAGCTGGGAAGGAATAGGAACCTATAAGGCTTGGGCCATGATGGGAATGGGGACAGGGACAGGGACTAGGAGGGCCTGTCTGGCCCCCCTTCTGCATGCGGGCTTCTGCCTCTCCTACTTCCTTACCCACCTGCACACCAGCCTCCTTCGGGTGTGCCTTCATCGCCTCCAGTGCAGCCAAAGCACCACCGCCCTCCACAATAATCCGGCTGTTCTCGGGCTTGCGCAGGGCCAGGACACACAGGGCTGCACAGCTCTGCTCGCATACCTGCAGGATGGGTCACAGGAATGGCTGAGACCAGGCCAACACACCCCCAGGTGAGTGTCCCAAGACTCCACTTGAACAGACCACTATCAGTTCAGGTGTGTACCGGACCAGCAATAGCAGGAACAGTATCAGGGTGACAAAAACATCAACCAAGCTCTTCTGTCCCCCTTCCCGCTCTGCTTACCCGGGCTCTCACTCACCAGACCCCCCTCCACCCTAACCTTGCCTGATCCCACCCCTTGCCCACCCTCATTCTCCCTGCCCCTCCCCCTCCCTCATCTCTAGTTGAGGAAATAGAAAGAGCATCACACAGATATAGTGACTGAGCTGGGATTCCAGATCCACTGCCCCACCTCATGAGCCCCTTGGAGGTACCTGGGGGCTGGCCAGGTGCCGGGTCATGGCAGCCACAATGGACTCTGTCCCACCTGCACGGACAATGGCATCCTTCACATCATCATTGCCTGCAATGGCCCTCAGGGCACTCAGCACTTGCTTCACAAGGTCCTATATGGAGGGAACAAGGGGGTCACACCCTGGTGCAGCCAGCCCCCTCCCCGCTGCACCAAGTGCTAACTGCTAAGTTGCTGTATTGTGGGAGGGGGTCTCGAGGGTAGGTCTGGGGCTGTTCAGCAGTCTGAACAACAGCTAAGGCTGCCCTGGGGCACAAAGGCGGCATGTGACAGCTGGGTTACTATTCATTGTATAGAGAAGGCAGGGGAAGTAGACCTTGTTGTTCCAATGACTTTTCCCCCACCCCCCACAGAGGAAGCATTGGCTCAGGTCAGCAATCAGAATACCAGGTCTCCTTGGCCTTGGCTGCAGGCTCAGGGTGGGCAGTGATTGACTTGACCGGCTGCTGTCACTGGCCGGGTCAGGATCCCTAGCCTTAGGCTGGACATGTGGTGAGGGGGTTGATAAGTCACTGTTACATGAAGTAATGATGGTCAGGGGTCCTTGACCTGTTATACAGAGAGGAAAGCCCAGGAAGTGAGGGGTAGGCCTCACTCAAGCATCACACAGCTGAGCTGAGGTCTGGGTTAGCCCTGGCGACACCCACTCCTGTCCCTCCTACTCCTGGAAGAAAATATAAAGATACTAGAGGACAGTAAGAAAGAGTGGGATGGGTTTGTCTGCCCCAAAACTTTAGTTCCCACCTATGGGTCAATGAGAAGTAGAAATACATTTTGGTTTTGGAATCAGCACACGGGCCAGGTGTGTCCTCACACAGGCTTGTATGGCTGGCAGGAGCCCGAAGGGACAAGTTCCCTGAGAGGCTGGAGACTTTCCCAGGCATGGAGAAAAATGTCAAATTGAAATCAGGGTGAGGGGACGTTGCACTTTAAGACAGCTCTGGATGCCCACCTGATGGTTGTTGCAGTTGGCCAATAGGGCCACCAGGATGCCAAGGCCCCCGAGGTCTACGACCTCTTGACAGAACTCGTTGCGAACAGTCAGATGGGACAAAGTGCTGCAGAGCTCACTCAGGACGCTGGGGTTGTCAGGGAACGCTGCAGAGAGGGAGGGAGAGGAACTGTGGGGATGAGGAAGGAGCAAAGGACCAGCCACAGCTCCGAGCCAGCAGTCCTGGTTCGAATCCTGCTCCACCCTCTGCCTGGCAAGGTGGCTTCCTAAACCAGGAGAGCCCCAGTGAACACCATGGGCAGTATGGACCTGCAGTGCCCCCTGCTGGCAACTGAGGAAGACACTGGATGCCCTGCTCCCCCCACCTCTTCACCATGCCCCAGCTAAATACCAGACCAACTGATGGTAATACCTAAAAAAAGAAAATCATAATAATGCCATAATAAAACATCCGAGACTATTTTTATGATTTGGGGGTGGGAATGACCTTTCTAAGTATAACAGGAAACCCAGAAACCATAGAGAGACATACAGAGTTGACAGGGCAGAACTGAACAGTTGTGAAGACCAAGCTCAGAGGCACAGGGAGGAGGCTGCACTGCCTCTCCTGGGGGAGGGGTGGAGAGCCATAATCTATGCAGAGGTAATGTGATAGTCAGTTCATGTGCCCCAGTGACTCCATGGGCGCTAATCTGATGTGCCATGAAGGTGTTCTCTAGACATGGTGCTATCCATCTGCCTTTAAGTAAAGGAGTGGACCCTGGATGGTCTAATTAGCTGAAGACCTTACCAGAGAAACTGAGGTCTTCCTGAGGAGGAAAAAGCACCCCTGTGGAGTGTGGTGTCAGTTCCTGCCCCACGGATTTGACTCGAAAGCCCCACATTAGCCAACTCCTTGCAATAACTCTTTATACCCACATAACCTACTGGTTGTGTCTCTCTGGTAGAACCCTGACAAAAATGAGCTCCTGTAAATAAACAAGAAAATGCAAATGACCCCTCAGAAAAGCAGCCTGACTTCCAAGATGATCAAGATCTGTTTCCACTCTCTCTAGGGGTTTGGAGGGGAGACTGAGGCAGGCCCATCTCTCTGGCAGACAAGGCAAGAGCCGGTGGGGAAAGGGAACTCATTCTTCTAGCACCTTCAGTACACCAGACCTGTCAGGCCTTTTCTGGTGGATGCAGTGGATGGGAGCTGGTGCTTTGAGGTCTGAATGTCAGTGTTACAACCTCCCATGACAGGCTTATGGTTACCCTGGAGTCAGGAACACATATGTGCACAAGAATTTGTGGCCAAGTGTGAACTGCTACCTGGGACCAGCCATAGTGAATGCCAGCAATACTTCCCCCATCTTTGGGAAACACCCTTGTTTTCCCTTTGGGGAGCTCTTCCCCACTCTCAATCTCGTTGGACAGAGCTGAGTCCCCTCCCCAAATGGCTTGGTCCTGGCCAATGAGTGCTGGCTCTCCTGGAACAACTAGGAGTAAGGATACTGTTCCATAAGGGCTACCATGCAGGTAGGATGAAGCCAAGAGAGGCAAGTGGAGCCTAGAGCCAGCCATGCCTATGCCTGAAGCAGCTCTAGGCCCTGACTCTAACTATTACCACACCTGTTCCTACCTTTGGCAGCCTCGATGAGCACCTTCAAGCCTCCGTTCTCCTGCACAATCAGCTTGGCGTGGTCGTGGGCATTGCCGAAGGGCACACGAATGTCATCATCAAAAGTCATGATGCGGAGGGCCCAAGAGGCCTCCCTGACCACATCGGCAGAGCGGCTGTGCCTGACGATGGCACCAGTTAATAGGGGCAGCACACCAGCCTTCACCAGACTCTGCCGATTCTGCTCATGTTTCAGGCAGGCATGGCGTATGCAGCGGATCCCAGAGCAAATCAGATCAGCTGCATCGGCATGCTGGTCCAGAGTGGTCACCAGCAGCTTTAGGCCCTGGGTGTCCAAGAGGTCGGGCTGGCCATTGATCAGTGCTGATAGGGCATTGAGGGCCTGGAGCAGAAGTCCTTGGTCACCCGCTGCAGCCAGCTTCCAGGCAGCAAGTAGAATGGGGTAGGCACCCTTCTGAGCTGCCAGAAAGCGGCAGGCCTTGTGCTGCTTGCATTGCTCACAAAAGCGGGTAAGTTGTGCTGACACCTCCTGGGGGTAATAGCAAGCCACGGACTCCTGCAGGTCTTCCAGGATCTAGAAAACATGGGAGAAACCTCAGTGTCATCTCAGCCCAAGGAGGGCCACAGTGACAGTGCTGTACCCCTGAGGTCTGGGCCTACGCTGGAAGTTCTGTGGGGCCAGTTCCAGCCAAGTCAGCTTCTATGCCTGTGTTTTTAGGAGCCTAGAGTTTCATAGGCCACATAGAAGTCAAGGCCGAGGCCTCTCAGTGTCCTTGCCAAGGAGCCACACATACAAGTGCAGATGTTTTAAACATCCCAGCCCTGGCTGCCACTGCATGTGAGGTCCCAAGCAAAACAAACTGTCCAACTGAACTCAGTCAACCCAGTAGAATAATAAGAAACAATGAAATGGCTGTTGTTTGGGGTTGCTTCTTATGCAGCCATAACTAACTGATACACCCTCCAACGGCCAGCTCTCCAAAAAAGGTGAAAGCCACCTTCGCTAGGCCTGCCCACACCATGTTTCCTATTTGTCTCTCTCATTTACTCCACAAATATTTACTGAGCATCTGCCAAATAAAACCATACTGTACACACAGCTGATTCACTCAAATTCAACTCTAAGCACCTGGGGGGAAATAATAATGAAAGAAACAATATGAACAGGACAGACAATCTAGCTGCAATTCAACTCTATGACCTCAGTGCCTGCCTGAACAGGAGCCTTAAGACAAACCCATACACACCTGTCAAAATGACTGTCATCAATAAATCAACAAACAAGTGTTGGTGAGGATGTGGAGAAAAGGGAACCCTTGTGCACTGTTGGTGGGAATGCAGACTGGTGGAGCACTGTGAAAAGCAGTATGGAGTTACCTCAAAAAAATAAAAAATAGAACTGCCTTATGACCTAGCAATAACACTTCTGGGAATTTACCTGAAGAAACCTGAAACAATAATTGGAAAGAATACATGGACCCTCATGTTCAATGCAACATTATTTACAACAGCCAAGATTTGGAAGTAGCCCAAGTGCCCATCAGTAGATGAGTGGGTAAAAGAGCTGTGGTACAACCTGGTCGGTGTGGCTCAGTGGTTGAGGGTTGACCTATGAACCAAGAGGTCACAGTTTGATTCCCAGTCAGGGCACATGCCCAGGTTGTGGCCTCAGTCCCCAGTAGGGGGCATGCAGGAGGCAGCCAATCAATGATTCTCTCTCATCATTGATGTCTCTCTTTCTCCCTCTCCCTTCTTCTCTGAAATCAAGAAAAAAAAAATACACACACACACACACACACACTAGAGCAGTCATGGCGAACCTATGACACGCGTGTCAGAGGTGACACACGAACTCATTTTTTTGGTTGATTTTTCTTTGTTAAATGGCACTTAAATATCCTATACTAATAAAAGACAAACATGCAAATTGACTGTATTTTCACTACGCCTTAAGCCACGCCCACCAGCCAATCAGAGCGACTATATGCAAATTAACCCAACCAAGATGGTGGCCGGCAGCCACGGAGCTGGAATGAGCTGGAGGCTTGCTTGCTCCAGTGATGGAGGAAGCCAAGCTTCCCCGCCTGCCGCGGCCCGGCTCCGAGCTCCACTGAAAGCAACAAAGTTTCAATTATAGAAGGTAAATAAACCCCAGATACCTGCTTTCAGCCAGCCATGGCCACGGAGCTGAAGCGAGCAGGAGCTGGCTCTGAGCTACACTGAAAGCAACAAAGTTTCAATTATAGAAGGTAAACAAATGCCAGATACCTGCTTTCAGCCAGCCATGGCCACGGAGCTGGAGCAAGCAGGAGTGGGTTGCCCCTGGCGATGGAGGAAGCCAAGCTTTCCGCAGACCTCCGCTAAAGGCAACAAAGTTTCAATTATAGAAGGTAAATAAATCCCAGAATAAAAAAAAAAAAAAGAAAAAAAGGAGAGGCTGGGAGCTTACGTTGCCAGGGTGCTTGGCCAGCCTGAAAACAGCCCTCAACCCCTCACCCAGACTGGCCAGGCACCTCAGTGGGGACCCCCCCACCCTAAAGGGAGTGTGGCCAGCCTGAAAACAGCCATCAGCCCCTCACCCAGGCTGGCCAAACCTCCATGGAGTGAGGGTCCCCATTGGGGTGGACATCCTCCGAGGGGTCCCACACTGCAAGAGGGCATAGGCCAGGCTGAGGGACCCCCCGAGTGCACAAATTTTTGTGCACCGGGCCTCTAGTATAAAATAAATATAAAAAACATAAGTCTTTGTTTTACTATGGTTGCAAATATCAAAAAATTTCTATATGTGACACTGCACCAGAGTTAAGTTAGGGTTTTTCAAAATGCTGACACGC